CTTCATTTAAAATAAACAAACAAGCAGACTGGTCTAATTACCAGAACTAATCTAAAAGAATCACTATTTCTCCAATCAAGACATATAACAAGAACCTTCATGCTATTTACTCAGCAATGTATAATTGCTTCTTGAGTCTGCAGTCTGTGCTGTTCACTTTCAAGCTCAATAAACATGAATTGTTTGATTCATTCTATTTGAATTCATTTTACCTTTACTTCCATAAGATTTTGGAAATACCTGTAATAACTGAAACTTCACTGCATTAATAAGAAGTAACTAAGTTCACAACTAATTTTTCTGTAACTAAGTTCATTACTTCCAGGTGACTGGGAGCTTATCCTGTGCCTGGGGTTTGACTGACTGTTCATGAGTCCCTACTAGCAGGCGCTGCTAGAGGCTCACTCTTAACTCATGCTTAAGGTCAGCATGTCCTGAGGTTTGATTGTGTAACTGATTTTACAGTTATTACTCATACTAGGACTGTACCAACAAGATATGTCTTCAGGTAAACTGTTGGGGGTTTGGTGGTTTGGGTTTGTTGCTTTTGTTTTTTTAATTTTTGTTTAGAATTTTTTAGCAAATAGATAATTTTGGTAGACATTAGGGAACAGTTAACCTAGTAAAGCTGTGAAACTGGTAGTGGTAGGCACCTGCAACTGGGCTCTAAGTTTGTTACCAAAAGTCCCAGCGCTACGCTGGCCCACAGCCATGAACAGTGAAGATGTTTTCCTTCTGGGGCACACATGACAGTAACGAGCAGCATTGCTATACCTTCAGTACAGGAAAAAGAACCACACAAGGAGATGCTTAGGTCTTTTGCTCCCATCTTGCAACAGAGATCCAAAGCACCCTGACGATGTCTTACTGAACACGGCAAAAGCTCACAAAGCCAGGGCAAGGGGTATCTGCCCTGACAGCCATCCAGAGGGGACCTGCAAAATGAGCCACCACAGCCAGGTCCTGCGGTGCAGGTGAGCAGCCCGTGCTCGTGGTCGGCTGCTGTTCCCCCGGCCGGCTCCAACACGTACACCCCCTCTCTGCCACGGTACAGCACCAGCAGCTGCCTCACCAGCTCACGCTGCACTGAGCTTCCTTCCCTCTGTTCTCTTCCTTACATCGCAGCAGAAGCGAGCGCTTGTTCTGTTTTTAGAGGGGCGTCCTGTGCGATCTCCTCGGTCTCAGGCCAAGAAACTCTTGTGCATCAGGCTACTTGTCCCACTCAACTGGAACACCACAACCAAGGTGGAAAGGGAGGGTCTCTTAAGAGGGAGACACAGGCGCAGAGACTAGGCGAATGAACCCTTGATACAAAACTGGCCTTGCTGGTAAGGCATAATAACATTGTCCTGAAATACATGCTGCGGCAGCATTCGTATTCCCATCTGTACTTTCTGCTGCTTTGGAAAATACTGTCAAAGGTCCTGAATGTGTGGCCTTCACAGCTCAAAAAAACATGTGAAAGCAACTGCTCCCATGGCAACACTGACATTTTCAAAACAATTACAGGAGTAAGAGTAAATGCCATTATAGCTTCTTATAAAGCACTTTTTGGATTATTTTTTCTTTCAAAATAAACATCCCTAGGAGATCTGGTTTATAGGTCCTTAGTCCTTGATTTCCACTAGCTAATTCCCCCAGCTAGAAGCGGTCCCTGTGCCAGCCCAGAGCAGTGACCACCCTGGCAGGGCTGAACAGCGCTGGGTCCCGGGCACAAGCACAGCCAGCATTGTCCGACAAGGCTGCTCTTTCCCTAAGTTTTCTGGGGAGCAAACTTAGTGGGGCACAGCCCGAGTGTTTTCAAAGATGGAGAGGACAGAGCGCTTCACAAAACACAGCTGACATGCTTGCTTCTTCCAAATAAAAGTCACAACAAGGAAAGCTAATCTTCCAGTGCTCGCCTCTTATATGCAGGCTCAGTAGTTAGAGGAGACATTCTGAAGTGAAGGACATGGGAACAATATTCGCCCTGTCCTGAAAGAGTTCAGAGCAACAATTTCCACCTTGCAGAAGAGTGCTCCATGCTATAATGCACCTAACAGACCCAAACTTTCTCAAGTGCTTCTAAGACTACCAAGGAAAACTACTCCTTTCTCATTTTCATAGTGTCCCGACTCAGTGCGCTATCTATTAAAAACAGATAGGAGAGAACATTACTTCTCCATGTTGTGCAAAACTGAGTCTTAGCTTAAAAACCACACTGAACCAGACTAATGGCAGGGACCGTACCTCTGGTAGCAGCTTTTCAGAACATCAATCTGCCAGTGAAGAGGACTCTGTCTTATGGGCTTTGAAATAGCCCGTTACCACAGCCTCCACTTTGGTAAATTAAATATGAAAGCAGAGAATGTAACTGATTTTCCAATGTACTTTACATTTCTCCTTGCCTGAAATATAGAAAACTCTTGAAACTGTAACTGCCATGACTGCTTTTGTGAGCTGCTTTTTGGTCTAGCCTGCTGGATCTTTATGTCCACAAGTGCTTTGCAAAGATCTGCCCCGCCATGGCCCCCAACTAAGTTTATATGAAAATTGAATCTTCCAACAATTGTTACAAATCGTAACACTGGCAAGTCTGGGAAAGAGAAATCCCCTCATGAAGACACACAGTAAGGACAATAGCAGCAGATGATACCTATAGGGCCTCTGCCTATGCATAAACCCCAACAGGATGGGATGTCTGCTATGGCAAATACTATTATAATTTGGCCTCCTTGTAATTCAGGCCCTCACCTCCTTGACTGTGTGCCTGTTGGTACCAGTTGTCCTTTGCTTCATGAAATGGAGATTTGTTCTGCAGAGGCAGCATCCACTGGGACGCTGAAAAGCTCTCAGTAAAATTTCTCTAAACCATAGTAGTATCTGTCAACCTGCTCAGGATTTATCTGAACAATCGAGAAGGTGAAGGCTGAAGGAATTATTCATGGGATTATTCAACCTATGCAGCTTCCAGCATGGCCATCCACTTCATTCAAAACATTTCATTTCCAGATTATTCCTCCTTGCAGGTTCTAGCAACCCGAGGTAAGACACCTAGGCACATACTACATGAGAAGCACAGCCTGCAGGGCTGGGTACAAGAAGCCCAAGTTCTCTCTTCTCCAAACAGAAGCAGAGCTTGAACATTTAAGAGCTATGCACAATTCATAAAATCCTGCCCCCCAAGCATATTTTAGCTTCTCAGTAACACTCACATTGATGGCCTTCTCAGGCCTTACACACAAAGAAGACAAGCAAAAATTACAGCCATGCAAGCTGAAAAATATGCTACAAAACAGCAAATGCATAAAACCATGCTTTCATGTATTTCTGGGGCATTACTCTTACACTGATGGCAATAAGCCCAGGCAAAAGCGTTTTCATAGAATCACAGAATCATAGAATGGTTTGGGTTGGAAGGGACCTTTAAGGGTCATCTAGTCCAACCCCCTCCCTGCAATAAGCAGGGACATCTTCAACTAGATCAGGTTGCTCAGAGCCCCGTCCAGCTTGACCTTGAATGTTTCCAGGGATGGGGCATCTACCACCTCTCTGGGCAACCTCTGCCAGTGTTTCACCACTGTCATCATAAAAAATTTCTTCTTTTTCTAGTCTAAATCTACCCTCCTTTAGTTTAAAACCATTACCCCTTGTCCTATCGCAACAGGCCCTACTAAAAAGTCTGTCCCCATTTTTCTTATAAGCCCCCTTTAAGTACTGAAATGCTGCAATAACATCTCCCTGGAGCCTTCTCTCCTCCAGGCTGAACAATCCCAACTCTCTCAGCCTGTCCTCATAGGAGAGGTGTTCTAGCCCTCTGAACAGAGAGCTTACAGGCTTATACAGAGATTTTGCAGAACCGGTTTTGAAAGTAGCTAGTCACCGTGATGCTGTAACAACGCTACTTTGATGAATCAGCCTACTGGGTCTCCCTCCACCTACCAAAGCTGCAGATGGTCAGCATTAAGCAGATTCAGCTGCAATAACTAGTTTTTGAGGGTAAAATTTTGATCCAAGAATATTTGGGGCTCACAGAAAGTGGTTATTTGCCCACCTAATATGATCTGGGATAAATGCTTTGACTATAGCAGGAAAATGCACATCTTGAAAAGGGATGCAACTTTGCATGGGGTCAGAATACATGCCCTGAATACAGACTGTGGCTGATCCAGTACATACTGCCCTGTGAATCAGAGCTTTGAGAAGTACCTCCCAGAAATGAAAGTTTCTTGGGAGACTACTTGTCCTGTAATAGACCTTGAAAGGTTATAGAATACTAAAGCAACACTCTGGGCCTTTGCAAAATCACCAAGATTAAATTACTTTCCTATAAAAAAGCTACTAATAGCCCATGAAGGGGCAGGGTATCAGAGATCATCATTAAAATGTCAACATCTGACACTAACGACTCTGGGGCTTTAAGATCCTGTCCTGGAAAAACCCTGTCCTACTGCTGTCAGTGGGGTCTCATCAGCTTTCCACTTCTGCTGTCACCATTTGTAGGACAGACTACAAAAAAGGGCAAAAAGAAGGAAGTTTGCTGCTATAACTTAACGCTTCCATATCTGGTTACTGGACAAAATTTAAGGATGTTTTGATTAAAGGCAGCCTAAGATGACCCCAGAGTCAGCATTCAAGAGATTACCAAGAACTCTATAAAGGAGGTCCTCAAAGCACTGCAAGGCCACAGTTCCCCTTCTACATTTAAGGGGGGAGGTGATATTTAAGCATTTCTAGAGTCCTCTGGAGGTTTATTTGTGGTTAAGTCTTGGCTGCAATGATTACCAACAGATATAGCATATGTGAGAGCAGGAGCAAGCACTACAGCAAGCAACAAGCTGAAGCACTGTTTTCATCCCTAAATTAAAATTCTCAGAGTGGGAGACTTCTGACGCCTCTCCCAGCAATTCATACAGCTCTATGAAAAGAACAGGATTTGCAATCCCATTTCTTTCTAAAAGCATCTTATTGCTACAGACAAAACGCAAATACAGAAACGTGGGGGAAGATTTCTTTCTTACCACCACCACTGGGGACCACTTCTGGCACCTGGCAACACTCAGAGCAACAGGAGAATACCCCATCTCCTCCCTCCAGGGAAGTACCACTGTTTATGTTTCAAGACATTTGCTTTCTCATTTGCCTATAAGCAAAAAAGACATTCTTCAATGAATGAAGGTAAAAATATTTTGTTTAGAAGCAAAATACAATGCAAACAACATGCAGCTGCTAACCCAAGTCACAAATTCTTTAACTCAAACTCTTCTTGTTAAAATTACCCATCTTTCCCTTTTCTTTGCGGGAAAAAAACCTACTTAATCCTTCTTCCTGTGTAGTAATACTACACTTTGCTCCACGGGTACCAACTACTCTGGCTTTCAGAAGGCCTAACTGGCACATATCTATGGAATTAAAAGCAAGTGTTCTTAACCTATATTTAGTAGCGAAATTGCAGCTTCTATTCAGAATGGAGAAAGGGCTTGCATACTCAAGAACTAGCCTACTTTTCCTAGCTTTGCTAATCAGCATAACAAAAGGTACTTCTTTTACCTACAAACCTCGTCTTGATAGAAGTTATTGAAAATGAAGCAGAAGCAATTATCCACTCTCATAACACACACTTAAACCCTATATTTTATTAAGAGCGTTTTTTATGATCCTGAAGCAATTAAGTTAATCATTATTTAATTTTAGATTACTGAACTGGAGATTTACTTCAGACACAAGCTCACTTTCCACATAATTTAGTCTCAGTAATTAGAGATATACTTTACCCAGAGGTGGCTTGTTTGAAGCATGTTATTTAATTTCACAAGCCTTACACCATGAAAGTTTTGTGCAGAAATCTACAAACCAAACTTCAGAAAAAGAAAACCCCCAAATAAACTCAGATTTACCAGACTGCAAACCTGTTTTTCCTTAAAAATAAAACCTGAAGAAAAAAAAAATTCTTCAAACATCTGCCCAACAAGTCAGATATATCACAAAAGCTAACATAAAGCATTTCTTTAACCCACCACTACCTTAGCAAAGTTTAAAGCCCTAAGAACAAGGAATGCTCTTCTCACACAAATCACTTCATTTACAACTTGTTTTAACCAGGATGTAAGGTCTACAGGAAAATGTATGTGTCTATTAGGATGCCCAGCAGGTATCTGCACGGGATGTAACCAGTACTGAATAGTTCGGACACTTAACAAAGACTTCCAGTGTTATCACAAGAACAGAAATAAAGACCAGGTATGTGGGTTCACATCGTATATATTTACCCTGGATATCATACCATTCAAAAACTGCTCAATTCCAACCTACTTCAGGCAAATTTGTATAAATATGTCGTTGAAACCAAACCATACTAGGAAATGCCAGTTAGCCATTCAGCTAGCCACTACCCATCTAGCTCAGCTTTAGCTGCCAGTCCATCTGGGCTGGTGCATTGCCCAAGGCCAGTTTTATGTCAAAACACATTTGCTGCTTTTTGGAACAAAGGGTATCATCTTCCACCACTGCCATTAGAGAAAAGGAAAACAGATGACCAGACAAGTGTTTTAAAAACACACACCACTTTTTGCAACTCTTTGCCTTTAAAATTGTCCAACAAAAACACACGCAATTGCTCAACACTCAATTAAAAGTCAACTATATTCGAACCAATAGAAAACTACCTCTATAGATGCAGAAAATGTAGATTCAAGACTTTAGTGCGAGTACTTTTATGATGCAGTTTGATTTGCTGCATACAAGAAAGGCTACAGAACTCATCAACAGCACATAAGATTTCAGCAAAGACTGACAAAGAAGAATAAGGGTGTGAAGCTAGAAAGAGATCAGGACACAACAGGTTTGCTGTAGGGAGTTTACTCAAAATAAATATAAGTAACTCTCAGCTATCTGGATTTTCAACAAACATTATTTAATACTTTTCCATGTTGTATCACATTAAACATGCAAAGTTGGAGACTGTCACAGCAGTAAAGGTCCTGCCCAAAAGAGATGGTGACAGACAGCATGGGAAGAAAAAGCTGCAGACACCTTGGAAGTTACTAATGAAAACACTAAAAACGGAGCAATCTGTCTTCTGCTTCATTATTAACTGATTAATGGCTTGCATATAAAAAAGTAATTATGGCAGTTAGGAAGCAATTTGAACATGAAGATATATTGAGTTGTTACACAACAGGCACTATGGTCTTAAAGACTGGAGCCATAAGAGTGGGATGAAAGCCACTAATATATGATGCACAATCACATATAGAAAATAAACAAGCCCCAGCTAGACACTGGAGGATGATCAGTGCCTGGGAGCAGAAGGGCCTGGATGCACTAGCCCACCCTAGCACAAAATGGCTGTGAGTCACCACTGAGATGCACCTGTGAAAAACACACATGCAACCCTGGGATTATCCAGAGGAACATTTCCAACAGAGATAGGAAGTACAGGGAAGTACGTAAGAGGCACTGCTAAAATCCCATCTGCGATACCACACAAGAGAGGCTGCTCATGTTCAAAGGAGGCACCAGAAACACAGGAGGCTGAAGGAGGATTTCCAGCACTGACAGCACGCACGGAGACCGGCACACGCACCAGAGGGATGCAGGGATATTTACAGGGGATGCAATTGCTCCCTGTAAGATAGTAAAGATAACCACTAGGAAGGGAAATAAACCATTTGAGCCAAAAAAGGCTGCTGACACCAGAACAGGTATCAACTATCCAGGAGTAAGTTTAGGCTGGAGCCTATCAGAACAGCAAAGCTCTGGGAGAAGCTTTTGGTGACAACAAACCTATGTCCTTAAGGAGGCCCTTGTTATGAGAAGGACATTGTGACACAGTACCTGCTTTAAAGCTCCAACTATTTTTGTAGCTGTCCCATCTAAACAGTCATTGAAGGGTCTATACAACTATCACCAAAAGCAGCTGGTTCAGTTCTCAGTGCTGGGGAAGGAAGGTTGTACACGGTGTGTGAGGCACAAGTTGGGGCGGGGGGGCAGGAGGCTGATTTATAGGGGAAAGTGTAAATAGTTACCATAATCTTCCTGCATACCTAAAAGGCAAACAAATAGCTCCTAATTTAAAATGAAAATGTTAACCGTTTTGTTTACATTAAAATGCTCACGTGCAACTATGGCAATAAAATAAACGTGCATTTAAAAAGCTCAGCAAGCCATGAATTGTAGCTCATCCTACTTTCCCACAAGAAAAAGAGATCTGTAGAACCAATGCAACACAGCGTACCACAGTTCAACAAACTGCATCTCTCAAGCCAAGCTGCTCCTTGGAACAAGCACGTTCTCTGGTCTTGAAGTGGATCCTTGAACACTGCCTTCGCGGCCCATCAAAGGGACCTTTGCCTGTGTATAGTGTCTCTCATGCAGACATTTTACTGTAATTGATAAAACTGAGGTCAGAGTTCCCAGAATGAAACACTGCAACTTGCAGGAGAATACTTTCTGGTGCAATATTGAAGCACAGCAGTGTTATGCAAGAGAACAGGATTTGAAAGCAAGTTTTGGTCTGACACTGTTTATTGTACTGGTGCCTGCATAAGAGGTACTTGAGCCCTAAAGAAAGAGAGACAAGCTCTTCCCATTTAGGATCCTCATCTTCCCCACTTTTAAAAATAAAATAAATAAATAAATCAATAACCATGAACTGGAAACTGCAAGTTGTATCAAATTGCTTTTCTGATGTCTTCTAAGATTGAAGAAACAGATCTAGGCAGTACATTGAGAATAAGAGTTGGATTTAAGTATACACATTTTTTTCCATTTCAAAAAAGGTCCCTCAATTAAATATAAATGCATGTGCACACAAACACTTATGCAGCTTCTCTCTTGCATAGTACCTTGCATTGAATTCAATATGATAACCTCCAAAACCATGTTTCCATTAGCTGCTTTGATACCACAGCTTTGAAAATACTCTCAGCACTCCAACATTTAGGACATACAAGACTCAAAAGCGGACACATACAACTCTTCAGCATCATCTCACAAGGGGAACATTTAATTCCTTTCTCTCTCTCTCTCTTTTTTTTTTTTTTTTTTAAATACTTTATTAAAACTACTGAAACCATTTTCTGGTCAATTTTCTTCCTCACCATGGGAAGCATCAATATCTTTGAATCTTCTGATTATTTGCTTGACCCACAGCTCAGTTCATTCCCTAAAGACCATCTTCCATATGATAATATCCCATGTTGATGGAGGAATGGCAGTCAGGAAAAAAAAAAAGAAAAAGGGGAAAAAAAAGGCTCGATAATATGTTTTTAATCACATCTCTTAGAAAGAGAGCCCCTAAAAACTAAATGCTTCCCTAATAAGAATTGGAAACAACTGACTCTGAACGTGCTTTCAGAAAAGGAAGTCTTCATTCATAGTAAGAAAAACTAGGAGAATGTCAATAAATTATGAAGAGTTTACAACAAAGTCAGAAGTGTTCTCCCTCCCCCATAATGCATAACTGAACTGTGAACCTTCTTGCCTTGGCTGTTAGAGGTGGCGTAAGTAGACTGAAAAGAGAGGAACTGGAATTATTAATGAAATGGAAATTAGGAGGATATGACAGAGCAAATACCACAGTCACTGTGTTGAGTGTATATTCTTTTGTAAGGCATCAATTATAAGCCAGACTACAATTATAAAACAGACTACTGACCTAGATGGACCAATGACAGACAGAGTCTCTCTCTTTTCAAGACTGAAATCAGACTTCTGCAGCAAAGTATTTAATTTTCCATTGCAACTTGCAACGAAACCCTTCATTTTTGAGCTTCTCTGTCAGATGGGGAACAGATAAGCAAGAATGAAGTGGATGAATTTATCTGTGACTGCCAAGTTCTCTGTTCACTCACTGAGAGAGAGCTTGAGCACCAGCAAAAGACCAGTTACATCTAACCCTGCCCACAGCCTTCTGATGGAAAAACATCCTCCAGCAGGTTCAGCTGTGGCAGCCTAAAACATTGCTGCCCCCTCTTGTCCATCCCAGCCTCTGCTAGGGATCACTGCTTCATAGCTAGAACACCTTCACAGCCTGCACCTTAGTTGCTCCAATTCTCAACTCAATGTGTTAGTTTAAACCCCTGATGAAGGTGGGTTCTTGCCAGGACTTTTTTTTTTTTCTTTTTTTTTTAAAGGCAGAAAACT